ATGAAATGGTCCAGAAAAAAACAGCGACTACGAAAGGTTAATGAATTGTAATTCATGCGATCTGTAAGTACAAAAACCAAATGATTAATCTGTGGGAGATTTTCGTACTCGCGGATCACGTCCGAAACATTCAAATTCAGACGGTTCGAAAAGTTCACTGGAATAGCAGAGAGTACGACCAGCATTATGATTGCACTCAATCAGACAGTCATGCCACTATATAATGCACTAATATTGCCCTCACGCTACTAACACGAACCCTTACTTACACTTTAGTATCATTTGTTATCATCAATATTCACTGAGTGTGACTCGGTGGCTTATACATATTCACAGTTTCCTCGTTAGAATCGCTTTTAGATGGAGTTGGTCGAAAGCTATCAAACATAAATAACTAATAAACAAAGTGAAACGTCGTCAACTAAACAACAATCCGATAAATAAATAAATAATAGCACTCAAAAATAAGGCAACAATTAAGCATTCTTTGAGATCGAGCACTGCCTTTCAAAGTAGATTATAGCAATACAAGAATGCTTTTTTGATGTACGTTCCCCGAAAGCTTTTTTAAGTTCCATAAGGTATGAGGTTGTAAATCTAAAGTCTAGGAAGTTACTACTGCTGAATTAACAGGCGGTTTTTCCTAGTATTAGAGGCTGTAGACTTATCTGCTCAAAGCCAGCATTCACTGGACATACAATAAAGTTCCTTTCTCTCAATGAACTTATTCTTATGGTATCCTTCTTTCTCAGGCTTTTTTCAAGGGCATCACTGAACTTCTAACTTTGTAGGGTCCGATAGAAGCTGCGTCTACAGGAAGATGATTAGGGTGTTGCTCCTGCTCGTGTTCGTCTTCGAAAACAGCATCTGTCTCACCGAAAAAGGAAGGATTGCCTTGACAAGGGTTGGTCAGTAGTTTTACAAAAACACTAAAGAGTTACTCTTCGTAAACAGAAATGGATAGAAAAATAAATATAGAGAGACACAATACAAACAGCAAATTTAGGCGAAATTTTTTATGACCACATTTCCTCCTCCTTTCCTGACCATAAGTGTGCAACCAATGAAATTTTCCAAGAAAGCCAGTCGCAAAATAGACTTCTTTGTTGGATATCTGTCCTGTTCTAGGCGTACAGAGGCATCGACTTGGAAAAGCGTCATGAAAGGCTGAGGAATCTCGGCTCAAGAGGACTGGGACGAAATATTACAGCTGCAATGGAAAGAAAAAAGCATCTTACAAACGGCACAGTCCCAAATGTAAGCTATTCCATTCAAATAGCTCCCTCTGTAAAAATAATGGATCCTAATTGAAGGCAAAGAGTGGAGAAGACGGTTCAATACTCGAAGAGGCATCAATCGAAGAGATGAATCAGGTGGAAGGAGTGGACGAGTACTTGTTCGACGCAGACATGATCCTTACAGAGTAAGTGACAGTAATAAATTATAGATAGAGTCCTATTAAACTGCAAGACTCAGGGAGGTACAATCCTGATAGTAGGCCCGCGATACATGTGGGACTTTTCTAGCTCAACTGTTTGGGAACAAGGATAATTGTTAGGTTTGGCTTCCTGTAGTAAATTCCATCTCACGACCAGACTGTCCGCTACTCAGAGGGGGGCACTGGACCTCACGCACTATATGCCCAGCAAATGCACAAAAGATGTCTGAGAATTAGAAATGGACAGCTACAGTACTCTAGCACTTTAGTGAACAGCTGAGTGCTTTCGAAAATTCTCTGGAAAATCGTACTCGCGTAAAGCGCCAAATTGCTGATGGTGCTGTCCGTTGGGCGGACAACAAAGTCTACTACTACTTTGACACGACTATAAGTATGTTTTCAATGTATTTCCCCTGGTATTCATGATCGTGCGACTATTCTTTCTCATTTTGACTTGATATTTCGTTAACTGTTATTCCTACTCATTTCAGCAGCAGCCCATCAGGCTTATGTTAGGACGGTGCTGAAATACCTTCAGGCTCGTACGTGCCTTACTTTCATCGAAGATGCTACAGCAACAAATCGTATTAGAGTATTCAACGGAGGTGGCTGTTATTCGGGTGTTGGCATGGGTGGAGGGGAACAAGACTTGTCATTGGCTGGTTACTGTATCGTTGTGAGTTTAGTGGAACTAGTATACCACGGCCATGTGCTGGCGTCTAGAGGCTCAGAAATCGGCCCAGGAAAAAACTTTCAATTTGACAGGCATTTTCCAGGTAGGAACGGTTGCTCATGAATTCACACACGCGCTCGGGGCTTTACATATGCATATGCGTCACGACCGAGACACCTACATTACGGTCGATACCACCTATGTCAAGGTAACTTACAACAGTCATTTTCACTCTTACTGTGTGACAAAATATGTGATTGCCAACTTCTCATGAAGGTAGAGACCCTCAAAACAATGAAAATTTTCTTTGAGAACACTTTTTCATCTACAGGTGACCCACATGAAGTGTGACGGGCAATAAAAAAATCAACTTATGGGCATCTGGGCTGGAAGAAGCGGTGATCGCTTGGGTGGAAAGGAACGCGATGAGCGTCAGCTGAACCTTCCACCGGATTGGGCACCAGCCCACAGCACAAAGGAGATGCTGCAAAGTTGTGAAACCACGCTTCCGGGTTTTTGGGGCGAAGCAGTTTTGACCTGCTAATCCCCTGATCTCAATCCTTTGGATTTTGGTGTGCAGTCGATTCTGGAGCAAATAGCCTGCGCTTTCAAACACAGGTCTCAGGAACCTCTGAAATAAAGTGCCCTTGTAGAAGCGTGGGCTGAAAGTGATTGCGCGCATACTTGAAAACTTCCGAAAGAGGTTGGAAGCTTGCATTAAAGCGGAAGATGGTCATTTTGCATGCGAGATGTGATATGTTGTTTACAATTTTGTGATGATTGTGTAGGAGCATTAGTTTCCTACTTGGTTTGATCTGTATAATTTTGATGATAGTTTTCTGCGTCACACTTCATGTGGGTCACCCTGTATTTTATGTGATTTGGCTTAAGCTATGCCTCAATTTAGTTTTTTTCGCTGTCTACTTCACAGCAACGCCATAAATACCTGCATTTCTCTTTCTTGAATTTCTCCATAGGCCCATGAAGGATCCATATACTCAGTTCTACATATTTGCTTGTTTAGCCTAAGTAATGCCCGCAGCTTAGCAGTAGCGCTGGATCATTTTTGAAATCACAATATCCGTTCTTGGTGACCAGCAGTTCCCGAGAATGAGTTCAAAGTGCTAAGCCGACCACATGCCCCTGCTTTTATTTCCTATACTATCCTGCTTTTTTGATAATATTTTTATTCGGAAGGACACTTTTCAGGACGGGTATGAAGGAAACTTTGGCAAATCAGCTTTTACAATTAACAATACTCCATACGAATACGGCAGCGATATGCATTATGCAAGCAACACGTTGGTAATTTGAACTCAGTTTTCGTCATGCGATTCTCCCTTATAGCTGTTTTATACCTTTGGTGCTGTTTTTCTGTCTTTTTCCCTCTGAAGCTTCCTTGAAACGTATCTAACAATGACATTGGACTATGATTGATAGTGTCCCCTTTCCCTCCTAGATACACGCTAACTACCTACGATGGAACTCTATTTCTCCCTCTCTCATAGGACTTTTTGCTTTCGTTTTTGGCAACACCTGACTTCTTTCTTGTTACCACCACTTCCAGCTTTCAACTCTGCATCAAGTTACCCTGAATTGTCAGATGTGCGGACAAAGTCTGAGAGATTATTGGGCAGGCTTTGCCACCAACTCCCCTTCCGCACCGTTTTCCAACGGCTCTTTGCTAAGGAAAATCCTGAAAGTTTGGTTCACAAAAATAATTCGCTTACGGATTTTTATGTGTTCAGCTTTACTACAAGTGGCAACTCTATGGTACCTGTCCAAAAAAGGTATCTTCGTACACTGGGTTCGAAGACGATCTCATTTTACGACATCAGAATGATCAATTGGTTTTACAAATGTAACGGTAAGTGTACCGTCTCCCATTTGAAAGTACAAATTAGCTGTAAAGCCAATAATATTCGTGCAATGTTGATTACAGGATGAGTTTTTATAAAAGAGTACCTGCCATAGCTCTTGAAGGTACCACAGTAGCAAGTACTTGCTTTTTACCATACGACCCTTTATTTCCACCGTATGATGGGATGTCCACTAAGGCACAGGAGTCTGTGACGTCATCATCTACTTTCTCATCATATACTTACTTCTACGTCGTCTGACTCCAACCGACATCTCTACANNNAGGAAAAGGATGATTGTCCTCGTTTACAGAGCAAACCTGGAGTAATTCCAGTCCCACGCTCTTCATGATAACTTTCTCGACCTTTTCAAAGCGGCATTTTGTTTGGATCCTTATCAAATGAAGTACAAAGGGTACAATGTGTCCCTTCCTGTCCATGTGTATATTCAAGCGAAAGAAAAGTCGAATGAGTAACAACCATCATTCCGACATGTCAGAGAATCCAGCGGAATACCATCTTCTGTTCCTTATTTTGGCGTACTTTTCCAGCTCCATGCAATGGTTTGACAACAACAGCTAAATGCAAGAATGGTGGAGCTCCAAATCCAAGAAATTGTCAAGCGTGCATCTGTCCGTTTGGTTACGGTGGAACACTTTGCGATCAACGAGTAAGTACCTCTGTTCATTGTAAGGACATTCTTTTCAAATTTTAAGCTCGAAATTTTTTACGAGAGCAAACTGCTTTATGTAATATAAAATTTTAGCGGGTAGGATGTGGTGGAACATTGGCAGCGACGACAACATGGAAGACAAGGACGATCACAGTCGGTGTGGCCACCGTAACAACCATACGTGATACTTATTCGATGTGCAACGACTGGATTACGGTAATCCAACCCATCAATATTTTTCATGGTTTTTTTCTCTCATATGTCATCTTTTCTAGGCTCCAGCAGGCAAAACGATCCAAATTCGCGTAACAGCTTTGAAAGATGTTCGATGCAAAAACGGTTGTGTGCTAGCTGCTATCGAACCGAAAGTCATAGCAGATAGAGCCATGACGAGTCCAAGGTAATCTATGTATAACACTAAAGGATACTTGGGTATGCAAATTACGACTCTCACCTGAAAGAATGCTTTTGGGGATATGCCAGACTGCCAGCTAATTTTTTTTTTGAAGAAATACTTTCATTAGAAAAGTTCCCGTTGCTAATATAAAAAGCCAAAGCTATGAAATAGTAGTTTTCTAAGATAAAATAAAACATAAAATGATAAAGTTTTTGGCGTTAATCAATCCCGTCTGAGGGATGCGCCCCTCGACTCATTCATCGAATCGTCTGCCAATGTTCTAATGTTTCACTCGACTTCCATTCATCGAAGCGTAGTGGCCTAACGAGTGCGTATGGGGCTTATACAATGACTTGTAGTGGCCAGCCGATGTACAAGTCTGTGCTTTTATCCTCCCAGTCTGGTACCAATTGACCGAACGCGGAGGGACGGAAGGGTTGGTTGGCCTAGGAGGGAGGGTATCGATCGAACCCCTGACCGTACATGCAAGATAGTGCGCCACTTGCAACTACACCACCTCCGCCCGTATTTTCTGTGATATCCAGTAATTTATAGCGGTAATGTATGTTTTCGACTCAAAGCCTCTATAGATGGAAGTCTAGGGCGCACTCAGTCAGGGGACTACTGTTAGCCCTTCTTGAGAAACCATGGGTTTTGTGTGTGCTTAGGAACTGATTAGACTCACAAGTATATTTTTCAAAATGACATCTTACTGTATTTCAGAATTTGCTGCTCTGAACAACTGAACCAGATCCTTTCAAGCAAAATCACTCCGACACCGGTCGTCACATTCAATCTCCAATTGACATCCACATTCACCTACCAGTACCGGTACATTTGATGTCTCGCAGATTCTGGAGCCTTCAAAATACGAAAAGCATTTTTTTCAACGAAACACTATCAGGGAGCAGTGATTGCAACTTCACTCCAGTAACAATAAATAATTGGTTGAGCATGTCTTGTGTGCATCTGATTGTCTCCAGCAGCGAAGTTCATTAGCTTACAGCTCTAGGAGCTGAGCTTTGGAAATAAGAGGTTACAAAATAATCGTATCGAAAACTCCGCCACGGAGAACTCGTTCGAATCCTGCTTATTACTGCTGATCAATATCGATTTGTGGTGTAACATCTGATATACAGTGATGGACAAAGAAAAAATTAAGCCACAGGAATGACCCCCATCCAATGAAGATGAAGTGGTGAGTGGAATGGAGCAAGGCGTTTTTCACATCCATCACCTCAAGACGCTTCAGGAAGGACAGGGTTATTAACCTTGAAATATTCAGTCAATCTACACTGAAGGATCTCTGACAACGGTTCGAATTTAGGGAAAACGGTGCCGCAACAGCCTTGTTGATTTCGATACATCTGAAAAGATCTGCTAACCCCAAGGTGCCGTCTATTTGATTAAATGCGGAGGATGCGGACAAAAGTATGTACGTGGGGAGACCGCATCCTTGAGATGCGCTTGAACGAACACAGAAAAGCGTTAGCAAATCTCGCTGTCCATCCACACAGCAGTTTCAGGCAACCTATCGAACCTGGCCATCCCTAGGAGCAGAACGGGAAAGAGACCGTTGCAGAAGCATGTGGATAAGGGCATTTTGCAACAACCTTAAGGTTATGAATGCTTTCAGAAACGAAGGTGCAGCCTAGCGCAGTCAGTAGAAGTGAAAGGAATTTATCGCCAAAGGCGCTCAACAGCATAGGAGGTACTGAGTCAAATAAAGGACAGGAATCCGGGAAATAGTCGAATCCTTCGCATATCCGAAGACTTGACTAAGTTCAAGCATTCTTCGCATTTTTCTCTTCGCTACAAGCCTCAGTAGTAAATCAGCTGGTAACCAGGTACTCAGGAGTGTCGTCTCAGCAACCACCTCAGACCTTTAAATTAGACTGAGAAGACTGGTAAGCCGTGAACGATTCAGCTCTCTCTCATATCCAACCTTCAGTTACAGACATCACGAACTAACCGATCGCCAGACAAAATATGCACGCCCACCCGCAATTCAGCCGCTAATAATCCCTTTTATCGTTTCGAACAAAAACCGAGAATCATAAAGCAGCTTTACGAATCGAACACATATAATACCTCTGTCTATGCTGTTGATACGGTAACTGATGAGGTCTAAAGCCCGTTCACGCTCGAAAGATCACTGTATTGGCAGAGGGTGTGCCCAGACAGTCTAGGCGTTCACACCTCCAATGAGCTCCAACAGCGTATAAAAATCAAAAAGAGCCCCACCGAAATCCCCCCCCCCCCCCCCATTCTTTAAAAAACATTTTTCGCCATGCAATTCTAACAGTTCTTTCTGTCTGCAGCACTATTCTGTGCCTACATAGGATAGATGAGTATCTGCAGGGGAATCACCCCTGACATGGTCTCGAATGGCATAGTATGCACGGGTTAATGCTAATGTTGGTTGACCACCTCACCATTCTGTAGGTGCGGGTGCTTATAAGCTATGGCATAAAAGCTATTAAAAGACTACGACAAGAGGGGTTTCGATAGTGTTAGGGATAAGGTGCCCGGATGGCACGAGTACGGGTGCGAGTCCTATCCTAGGCCAATGTTTTGCCTGTAGCTCACCGACCTTGTCAGACGGTCGTGTACTGCAGTGGAATGACAACCGTCGACAGCATGCCCCTAACACGATCGAGAATGATGCTAAATTTCTATGGGTGTAACATTATACTCAATCTACTTGATGCACAATGATTCGTAGCTAGTTGTCTCGTATCCATGCCTCACAGTAGGTTGGTTGGTACATTTACAACGAATTACACTATGTTCTTCATGCTCTACTAACACTTTTCTGGTTTGTTTAGGCGCACCAAGAATGCAATTCAAATGAATAAATAGATAAATGAATAAATAACAAATAAATAAATAAATCAATAAATAAATGACCTTCAAAACCACTGTGTAGGGGTGGGGAGATACCACGTATCCTGAGACACATACTTGGCGAGATATCGCGTAGCGCGTTACTCATCTATGTCCTAATTCGTTGTCGTGCTTACTTTCTAAAGGAAAGAAGTGCATCAGAAGTGGTAAACGTATTAGCGACTTTTCTCCCACATAATCATTTGAATAGGATATTTCAGGGATGGGTAAAAGATTGTTCAATCGTGCAGCAATCGGGATCCTGATCCTGGTTCTGTTCGATCACGGTCTCTGCCTCTCGGAGAAAGGAAGAATAGCTCTGCAAAAGGTTTCAGTTTATGAAACAGAACTGTAAAAGCCATTTGTGGAGCTACACACAGAATGATGTTTTCCTCACAGAGAACCACTTTCAGGCACTTCGAGGTGTCGATCTCGAAAAACGTCTCGAGAGGCTGCAGAAACTTGGCAGACACAGAGGTAGAGCTGGGTCAAACAATACAAGACCGATCCCGACACTTCCTGACCTAACTGGAGAGGATGCGAGTATATTCTTTTGTTGCGTAATGTAAGGTACTGATATTGTAAGGTACTGAAAACGGAAGTCCAAAGAAAACTTCCGTAATCATTATCTCAATGCAGACCCGGGTATGGGTACATTCACCCAACATTGGTTGGACACGGCGAAATGCGCGGCGAAATTCGTTGTGATTTGAACGACTCTGGCACCTACCAATGGGGCACAGGTTTTTGGTACAATGGTTAATTAGGACCAGCTGATGCTACTTATCTACCCTACTTCAAATTTGTGCTCAATGATAGGTGACAGAGTCGTTTAAATCACCACGAATTTTACTGTGCAGTTTGTCGCGTCCATCCAGTATTGGGTGAGTGTTCCGTCCCCGTGTAACCCCGATCGAAGGTCCACTGTTCGGCCCTCAATTCGCCACTTTTGTCATAACATCAATGATTACGATAAGCGGGATAGCAACAGGATGCCGTTCCTCATCTTTACTTTTCAGTTTTTTGAACTAATTTCCCATAGTCCTTCACTTGCAGGGAGCACTTGCAGCAGAAGACATGCCTAGTGGCGATGGTTCGTCTATTCTAGAGGTGAACAGAGTGGAAGGCGTTGATGAGTACCTGTTTGATGGTGATATCATCCTTACCGAGTAAGATTTCTTGTGTACTTGTAAGGAAAAAGGTCTCCGAAACCAGTGGTCACTGCCCATAGCTCTGAACTCTGGTGTTAGAACAGCGACCCGGACACTTAGTTCTGAGTCGTCTCCACTAGTAGAACCCCTTTGAGCCCTGGAAGTGAGCATCAAATGATTCTTTTCTGAGGCAAAACTTAAGGAGGACGACTTAACATCTGCGGAATGTGGAGTCCCCCTGTAGGACAGTTCATTGACCCTCTCGCGACGTAGTCACCATTGAACCGATATGGCCGCTGATCAGATCTTCCACCGCGTTGGAAGATAAGATTTTTCTTTTGATTCTTCCTTCAAATATGGATGTCCCACGGGTTTAACTTCCGTAACATAATGACTTCGAATGCCTATCTGGACTTCACAATGACAAACCAGGCCAGGAATTCTGAATGCCATCAGTTCTATTCTCCCAGTTGAGCCTGCCATTCATTGGTTCCTTGTGGGAACAGCTAGTCTGTTTCGCCTGGAAGAGTACTAGACAGTTATATCACCGCCATAACTCATATACGTACAGAAGCCCATAGTAGCTTCAAACTACAACATTTTGGAATAAGTCGAATCTTCTAGCGAGGAACTAAAAGCACTTGAAAATCAAGCGGAAAGTAGTGCTCGCAAAAAACGTCAGATTTCAACGACTTCTACGAATTGGGCGGACAACACGGTCTACTACTACTTCGACGCCACTATACGTATGTTTTTCAAATTCCAAACAGCTCTACTTTTGGTGAATTTGGAAAATTTTCAGCAGCAGGAAATCAAGCTTACATTAAAGCCGTGCTAAAATATCTTTCTGGACGTACATGCATCAATTTTGTGGAAAATCCTACAGCTCCTAATCGCATTCAAGTTTTTGACGGAGCTGGATGTTACTCAGCAGTTGGGATGCGAGGAGGCGAACAACCTTTATCGTTATCTCAAGGCTGTATAGTTGTAAGTTTAAATCAACTGAAGCTTTAGGAAATCACTTAAAGGAGCTTGGGTGTGCCATCAGGTCAGAGTGGAGTTTTCTTTGCACGGAAAGCCTCATATGTCAACGAAAAATGCTACAAGAAACTCATTCCGCCACGAAAAACTCTCCCACTTAATGGTACATAGGCACGAAATACAGTAAACTATTTGGCTCCAATCCAATTCATTGGTACCTATGAACTTAAGATTTGAAAACTGCCCGCAAATGGGCAAGGGAATCACCTGATCACTATAATGAAACACTTTTCTTTCAAGATTGGCACTGTTGCGCACGAATTCATGCATGCTCTGGGAGCACTGCACATGCACATGCGAGATGACAGAGATAATCATATCAAAGTTGATCTGACCAATGTTCCGGTAAAGTTTTGCTTTCAGTTTTAGAACCTTTCTTTATTACCCTGAGCGGCAGTGGCCGTGAAGGACCTCCGAAATGACTCAATTTCTCTATAACAGTCGGTAGGCGTACCTTACTAGCTGTGCTTTGTACTATCTACTGATTTACAGGAAGCTAGACAACACAACTTCATCAAGGAGGCCAGTACAATCAATCTTACACCTTACGAGTACGGTAGTAACATGCATTACTCTAGGGGAGCGTAAGTTATCACAAAACATTTATATTCCATGCTCTTTCATATTTCTTTTCACAAAAAAGTTTCCTTCAAGCATTGTTTTCCCAATACTACCCTACCAAATGGAAACTTCAGTTTTTCAGTTTCGCAAACAGTGGGAGCTCACTTATACCTCTTATACCAAGATTTCTGAGGACGTTGGGTGCACAAACGATTTCGTTTTACGACGTACACATGATTAATACACAATACAAATGCTATGGTGAGTCGGGAGAGGAGGGGTGCTTTATGTATCACCTGTCGTCCCATTGATCATCGATTTCCTCGAGCGGGCGCCAGTAACGTCTCCATTCGTCCCTGTCGCGAGCCAGAGCCAGTGTTTGGTTTCCTGTAATCAAATTATTCCTAGAAAAGTAATAATATTGCAACTAGGGAAGAGGGAAACTGCACAAACATCCGGCCTGCTTTATTGGTAATCAAAGATCGTTCACTAATCCTCTTCTCATTTCAGCAGCATGTGCTGGTAATATGCCAAAATGTGTAAACGGTGGTGTCCCAAATCCTAAAAATTGTGCCAACTGCATTTGTCCAGCAGGTTATGGTGGAGCGCTCTGCAACCTGAGGGTGAGCCATTTCTACTAAAACTAATTTTTTATTTAAATGTTAAGAGAAGCCTGGGAATTTCACATAACAACAGGGGAATGACATATGTAGGCTGAAGGCAAGTGAAAATCCCGCATGATATGTATTCGTAGCGAGTCACTGAGGACACAAGGGAGCTGATGTTTTCGCGAGTCTCGCGATTCATCTGAAGACTTCTGGAGGCGAAACTGACGTTAGACATGGTTGTGAGTAACACGAAAACTGAACAATGCTGATCGATAAGTCCGTCCCAGAGTCCCCACTCACATCTCCAGCTCTAAATAATCCTTTCAAGTTGAGTTTGAAACGGTCAAAGTAAATTTCGATCTCGGAACATGAATCGGTGTCCTTGTCTCATGAATTTCCCATGGGACTGTTGTCGAAGGAACGGGATCCAGTGCTCAACATTTTCGGAAAATTGAAAAGTAGATCTCGAACGAAGCTCTAACGCAGTGTGCTGAGACATAAGATTGGCCCCTCTGCTTTCCATAGAAATCACATTCCAATGGGATAAAGAGAACAGATGGAAAACTCTTTTAGCCTGCCGCTTGTGGGCTGACGCTCACTGCCACAGCTTCCTGGCAGACAAAAAAGGTTGCAGTTGGTGACGCTGCAATCATCACTACCAGTGATTCCTACAAGACTTGCGTTGACTGGATCAAGGTCAGTACCGGAATTTCGACGGAATCCTTAGCTTTCTTAGGTTATCGTTGGAAATCTCAACATTTTACAGGCTCCAGCCGGTAAAAAAGTACAAATCCGAGTGACTGCACTACAGGGAGTCAACTGCAACGACGGTTGCTGGACACATGCTATTGAGGCCAAGATCATGGCTGATAAAAAAATGACGAATTCGAGGTTCATATTGAGGATGTATTCATTTTCAGGTCTTCTAAGCGGTTCATTACTTTTGTTTGGTAAATTACATTACATTTTATCTATTTCGAACTTTTCAAATTTCACTTGGCTTTTACTTTAAGTTTTGTTTTTTTAGTTTACTTGACCTAATTTCAAGATGTGGGTTCCCTAACTTTATGCTTTTTTCAAAAGTACGTTATAGGACGATGAAAAGCCCTTCTGGACAGAGTTCACCTAATCAACGATAGTTGCTGTGAAACTTCTGAACAGAGTTCACCTAATCAACGATAGTTGCTGTGAAATTTAAAAAATTAACGTAAATTTCCGATGTGGTGGTCTTCAATCCTGTATTACCGTCCATTTCAGGATCTGCTGTCCCGGACAGCTAAATCAGATTTGGCCGAGTGCCCTCAACCCAACTCCAATTGTCTCTTACAGTATTCGCCGTGTGGCAACGTTCACTTACCAGTACAGATATGTCTAAATACAGTTTTAATGTACTGTGTGAATGAAGATTTTACCAATCGGCTCTGTTAATGCTGTCGAATCGACTGAAATACTGTTAGGGATTTGTCTATGTGCCGAGTCCGTTTTTTTGTTTTCTCTGTTGTAGGAAAAACTTCCGGTGCTAACCAAAGTTATAAATAGTAACTTTTGTCATTAACTACTAAGTATGGTGGTAATGCATATTTTCAAATCAGAATGGCAAAGACTCCCTCCTCTTATTTTGTAGAAAATTGTGAGCAGTTGTGGAGTCTGGGGCTGATGTCAGTGGCTTTCAGCGGGCCCGTCCAGGAATGGGAGTACAGGGGTCCGCTCTGCTCTCCTGAAAAATGCCACTTCCGATTAAATTCACAAACCCATTCTTCAAAATGGCAACTTACTGGGTTACAGAATTTGCTATCCTGAACGAATGAACCAGATCCCTCAAGCGAAATCAATCCGATAGCTGCCGCCCCATACAATACTCGTTACCTACCAATACCGACTCATCTTATGTCTCATGCATTCTGGAGCCTTTCAAATTCTTCAGCAAAGCAATATCAGGAAGCAGTGATGAAAGTTCACTAAAGCGAAAATGAAAAATTTGTTAGCATGGTTTGTGTGCATCTGTTTGTCCTCCAGCAGCGAAATTCATGAGCTGAGTAGCTCTAGGAGCCGAGCATTGAAAGTGATAGATTATGAACTGTATCGATGTTCTTCCGATCGATCCCTGCTAAATGCTGATCAATATCGATTTGTGCTGTAATTACCCGGTATGCATTGATGGCGTACGAAAATATTAAGTTGTGTAACCTTGAGTTGAGAAATAACATACATTCACTGATCTGACAAGTAGAAATAGAGTAAGGCGCATTTTACGACCATCACTTCAAGAAGTCCCATATAGAACCTATAGATCAACACCAATATCGCCTGATCCGGCGGAAGTAATGTAGCAGAAAGGGCCGCACTATCACAACAGAGATCGAATGCCATACCTACATCCGTCTACGACCAAGCTTTTCATCCTTCCAGGAATTGGTGTAATTAGGCTCGTTGGCAGGTTAAAAGCCCTGACTCGTACATCGGTTGTCCACTCATTGTTTCAGCTACAAACGCACCCAGACGCTGTGAGTCGAGCGCGGGCTCATCCCCAAAACGAAATTATTTGACACCAAAAACTTTGCCCTTTTCCACACTTTCTGCATTGTGGAAAGACATTGCCGAAGCTGCTTGATTTGAAAAATTGTACTTACCACGGAAGGCAAGGCTACAACATCACTTTAGAAAGTTTATATAAGCTTCATAAGGGTTCGGAATCTCTCCTATTTGATTGATGTTGTTCAGGTATTTAGAGGAGGCAAAGTAGGTTTGGGTCGGCGAATAACTCTTTCATACAAATGATTCATGGCGAAATTAGCCTCAGGTTAAGGCCATGATCCTGGTACAGAACCTCACCCTCTAAATTTTGAAGGAACTTCTCGAGAAGCATATCAGGGAGACGTTCACCACAAGCATTTTTGAGGGAGCCATATGTCACTACTAAAGCGTTTTGGTTATACTCACGATCTAATGCTTCAAATGATGACAAGCCGGGCAAGAGGCAAAAAACTACAAATGAGGCAGTTTTTTTTGAAGTCATCGGGGGTGAAGCACGTAAGGTGTCAGGCTTTCTGATTATCCTCCCAAATCGGATTTAAGTGGTCACCATGTTCATGTTTTCTCTCGATATGAGCATGAATTTCAGGATTTCTGAGAAGGATTCAATCCTCATCTATGTGCAACCTTCAATAACAAACATTATGAACTAACTGATCGGCAGACCAAATAAGCACGTGCTTCCGCGACTCAGCCGCACGATAATCCTAGTATTGTTCGAACAAAAATCGTCAATTACAAATCAGCTTTACGAAACGAACACATATAATACCTCTGTATATACGGCTAATACGATAATTGATTCGGTCTAAAGTCTGTTCTTGCTCAAGAGATCACTGTATCGGCAGTGGGTGTACCCATATGGTTCGGGAGTTCATACCCCTAATGAGATCCAACGGAGTATAAAAGTCGAAAAATGTTGGTCAGGTCAAGCCATCATTTGCAATTTCTCTGATAAATCCCTTTTTGTTTTCAACAGGCTCTAGAAGTTTCTTCTATCTCCATGAGCCGCACCTATAAAGGAACAACTCTACATGTCATCCCAAGGTAATGCCAGTTGTCTATGGGTGTACCTCAGTACGCTCCATCTGAATGACCGGAACGATTCTTAGCTAGTTGTCTCACAGCGGTCCAAGTCCAATCTGGTTGCCTTCTAACATACCTTATCTTACCTTCTAACAGATGCAGCGGCTCATTCTTAAACCATAATATAGGCCAAGTACCACTGTATCGAACAACATCGAAAGTGTTATGCTTCTCCTCCGTACATACTTGAGCGTCAAGCGTACCTCGTTTACACTATCTTTGTTGTCGAGCTGATTCCTGTCTGAGAAAGAAGTGCATCAATAGTAGTAGTCATAAGAGTAGCCTTTATTTCTACCTGATCATCTGAATAGAACATTCTAGGCATGGGTAAAAGATTCTGTAACCGTGTGGCAATCGGCATTCTGATCCTGGTGCTGTTCGATCACGGTCTATGCCTCTCGGAGAAGGGAAGACTAGCACTGCAAAAGGTTTTAGTTTATAGAACAGGTTCGCAAAAGTCCCTGTGCTGCAAATTTTCTCAGCTTCAATAAATTCTCATGAAACATACAAAACTGTCAATTTTAATGAAGAAGATTAGCAAAAAATAGACTCACCTCAACAATGAGTAATATTTTGTTCACAGAAAACCGTTTTCAGGCACTTCCAAATGTCGATCTTGAAAAACGCCACGAAAGGCTACAGAAACTTGGTGGACACAGGGGGAGAGTTCGATCAAACAGTACAAGACCGGTCCCTACCCTTCCTATTCCCAACGGAGAGGATGTGGGTAAATTTTTTTGCTTTATATAATAAGTATGATATTGTAGCATAGTGCAAACAAAACGCTATAAACCGTTCATTACAAGTCTGGTAATGCTGTCTTCAACCCTTGGATTCCTTTTTAACCAATTTTCTTCAATCCTTCGCTTGCAGGGAGCACTTGCAGGAGAAGAGATGTCAAGTGGTTCGGATGGTTCGTCTATTGTAGCTGTGAACAGTGTGGAAGGTCTTGATGAGTACCTGTTTGAGGGTGATATCCTTCTTACAGAGTAAGATTTCTTAAGTTTTTTCTTGTAAAGAAAAGCTTCTGAAATTAAAAGTATTTGTCCGTAGCTCTGATTTCTGATGTCGAAACCGGTGCGCTATCATTTTTGCGACCTCTACATTGATAGATTCCTTTCTAAGCCTTGTAATTACCCATCAATTGGCCCTTCTCTGAGACAGTTGTCAACTATCTCTGAAAGAGGCCGGCTGAACGTCTGCGAATTGTGAAGCTCCGCTGTAAGACAGTCCCTTGACTCACTGTCTACCCAGTCACCATAAATTACATAGGAACGCCTACCGCCAGTTTTTTCGTCGTGTCGGAAGACTAGGTTATTGAAGTTCACTATGGCTTTGAAAGACTGTTTGGCCTAGGCAATAAGTTACTGAGGCCTGGAGGTTTGATTGCGAATAGTTCTGTTCTCCAAAGCAAGTCCGCTACCAATCACCCCGATACCGGTGAGAACGGGAGGCTTATTTGAACCGAATGAGTCTGAGTAG